TATGTTTGTTTTTGGCCATTAATAATGACATCACAGGTTTCACGGTTGCTTGCTATGTTGTATACACTTTCACCTTCAAACAAGGCATTGTCCATGTTGTCTTCTTCCAGCAGTGTTCTATCAGAAAGCCAATGGGCATCATTTTTCCATCAAGCATCACTTGGAACTCATCTAAATCATCAATTGGTTTCTCGTATTGGAAAACACAAAGACCAAAACACCACTACTGATGTTCATGTAAGTATTTTGAACAAAAAATATATTTGTTGCAATTATTAATTGTTCATATGTTATTGCCTTTTCTATTACATGTTACTTATCTATGTGGTGCACTATACCATGTCTTTAGTTAAGGAATTTATTTTATTCTTCCATTTACGTTTGAATATAGTATTGATTATGAGTTTAGCTTGCAAATTGGCGATGATTTTGTGTCATATTTTTGTTTTCAGGGTACTTCTCTCAACTTGCTTAGAGTTGCACCAGAATCTATTCTGGATCTTGAAGGATTCGTATTGAAGTTTTATAAAAGTCTCCCCTGCACAACGATTATCTGTATTAGCATGCTTGGAGATGATTACACCACCTTGTTGAGAGAATTATTGCCCTATAGTCCCTCTACTCATGCTTGGATAATATTGTCTCGTTTGAATTCTGATACTATACCTATTATCACACTTCTGCCTATTAATTCAATCTTAACAGGTAACAAAACTTGTTCACAATTGTTCTATATAATGTGCTTTTCCACTAATCTGATGTTTTTTTTGATACCTTTAGAAAGTTCAGAAGGCAATGAAGATTCAAGTTCCAGTTTCTTATCCAACAAAAAGAGTTGCAACAAATCATGGCACTGCCCTTGGGGACACACCATTGTTGACAATATTGCACCATTGTTCAAAACAATCTTGGAGGAAAATTACATATCATCTTCAGTGTACCCTTTGGAGGATACTAAAAAGAACAGGTCATTATGGTGGGGTCAAAGGAGAAAGCTTGATCAGCTGCTCGGTGATCTTCTGAGGTGAGGAAGATTTACTGTTTTTTTTTTTTAAAAAAAAAAAAAAAAAAAAAAATCCTAAATACAGTTTTAGTAAGATATAAGAAGATAAGTTGGTTTTTTTTTCTTCAGAGATGTGGAAGATTTATGGTTTGGGCCTTGGAAGGTGTTGCTTTTGGGGGAGTTTTCAGACAACAAGCACATTGACTCTGTACACAAGAAATTGATGAATGATCTGAAATTTGAGAGTAAAGTTGATGTACATGAAAGCATTCTGAAAGTGATAATCGGAGGTGCTGGGCCCCATGCTGCCTCTCAACATGAGGAATGGGTATCAGAGATGATGATGAAGAAAGGATGCTATATTGGTGGAATAAAATGTGAAGAAAGAATCGACACCTTATCTTCCTCTGTTTCAGAACTGATACTAGATGCAATCCGTGAAATTGAGGAAGAAGATAGAGAACCTGTGATATTGGTTCTAGACTTTGACATACAGGTAATCTATTTTCTATGAAAAAGACATGAATGCCCTTCTCATGTTCATGTTTGTCTGTTTTGATATGATTGGGTTGCAGATGCTACCATGGGAAAATCTGCCAATACTAAGAAACCAGGAGGTGTATCGCATGCCTAGTGTTGCTACTATTTCTTACACATTTGATAGAAGTTGTCAATATCAAGAAAAGTCTGCAGTCTTTCCTATGATTGATCCACTGGATGCATACTATTTGCTGAATCCAGGTGGCGACCTTCCTAGCACCCAAGCTGAATTTCAGCATTGGTTAAAAGATAAAAATTTGGAGGTAACACATTTAACCCTTTTTGTCTTTTATAATCTTGATTCTCGAAATGATTTCATTTTAAAAATCTAAGCAGGGGACAACTGGTACTTCACCTAGTGTCGATGAACTGAGCATGGCCTTAAAAAAACATGACCTTTTCATGTATTTCGGCCATGGAAGTGGTATGTATGCCTTTTATTTTTTTAATAAAAAATTATTCATCTATATGCAAGTATCTCTATTTCTATGATTAATGTGATTGTATTATTTAATAAAAAATTAGGAGTGCAATATATCCCGGGTGATGAGATACAAAAACTTGATGGGTGTGCAGCTACACTGTTAATGGGGTGCAGTAGCGGGTCTTTATCTTTAAATGGATCATACAGCCCAAAAGGAGCCCCGTTGTATTATCTATTTGCAGGATCACCTGTCATAGTTGCCAACTTATGGGAAGTGACAGATAAAGATATTGATAGATTTGGTAAGGCAGTTCTTGATGCCTGGATTAAAACAAGGTCAATCAGCTCTACAGATTGTGCACAATGCACTGAAATTTCAGATAGGTTAAACAACATGAACATAGTAGATGATGATGGTGGTGATAAAAGAAAAGGGGGGAAGAAGAAAACATCAAGAAAGAAATCTGTTAATAATAATAATAATAGTAGTAGTTGTAAACATAGACCAAAGATTGGTTCGTTTATGGGACAGGCTAGAGAAGCTTGTACACTTCCTTTTTTAATTGGAGCTTCGCCTGTGTGTTATGGTGTTCCTACGGGTATTAGAAACAAGGATTTGTGAGCCTTTCATTTCATTGGCTTTTGTATTCTTTAGTCTTTATGAGCAAAGCAATAGAATGTAGAGTGAAATCTGTATTTATGTATCAATATGTACAAGACGAACAAAAATATAATGAAACAAGTACAGATAGATCATTGTTAGGTAAGAATGAAATTTGATGATGGTGGTAAACGGCCTTGTGAATATGGGGTGGTGTGGGATTCTATCATGGGACATGGGAAGGGAACCACATCTCATCAGATCAACCTATGGATCTTAACTTTCTTATGGAAATGACTTTTCTAATCTCACTTGAGAATGAGATAATGCTTCTAACTAACTAATAGAGGATGAATGGTACACGACGGATAATTTTGCCATTGTTTCATCATTTTCATCATATTATTTGGTATGTGAGTATGTTTAAAGTACATTAAAAATTAGGGGATATTTTCGTTTAAAATTAGATTATATATAAACTGTATGTTTTTATGAGAGGAAGATAGTCTTGGAATCTATAAGTTTTGGATTATATTTGATATTTTAAAATTAAATAACATTGTTTCCATTAGTTTATAGTTTTTCTAAAATGTTAAAGTGTTGGTGCTAAACAAACATTTTTTTAACGCTATATGAAGTGGTAGTGTAAGACTACGTCCGTTGGTAACTAAAAGCAAGAGTCGGTTGCCAAAATTCTTAAAAAGAATAAAAATTCATGGAAAATCGGTAGAGTTGTTTTATCCACAACCAAATCGTCTATTGTTTTATAATATATTGCCACGTCTTGATATCATATTTGGGTTCTTTTTCAATGGTTAAATAATTTTAGTTATTATACAAAACTTATGCAATATATATTTGTATGTTGCCTATACTATATTTTAACTATAATTTTATAAAACACTAATTTATATAAAAAATTATAAATTTTTATAACTGGTGAGTGTGTAGAGGGGTAAATGATTAAAAAGGATATAATCTCTCTCTCTCTCTCATGTGAATTTGATGTTGGTGATGATGCGGCCATCTTTGACTCGTTAAGTGCTTTTTATAGCTTAAGGGGTTTACTAATGGTATTTATATTTATCAGTTTAATATATATATATATATATATATATATATATATATATATGTATATATATATATATATATATATATATATATATATATATATATATATATATATATATATATAAAAGAAAAAACATCATTAATGGTCCCTGTGGTTTTCCAAAATCTGAAGTTTAATCCCGTGGTTTAGAAACGTCATAGCTGGTCCCTATACTTTCAAAACTTTTGATAGTTGGTCCTTATCCCTAACTCCGTTAAGTTTTGTCCGTTAATTGTTAACTGGAACCGGGCCATTATATGGTAACCGGTTCCGGGTATCAAACCGGGTATAGTGGGTACGGAATCGGTTGGACCACAAATTGTTATTTGGAACCAGATTCATATATTAGACCCGGAAATAACCGGAAACCCGTAAACGGAATCGGATTCTTATATTATCTTTTCACAATAATTTAATGCCATAAATGATAGGATTTTCATATACTTTGACATTTTGCCTCTTACGTTTTTGTCCCTGATTTTGGTTTGCCCCTGTAGGCATTTTCTTAATCATCATCTCCAGTGTTCATGAAGCTATTGGCATTTTGGATGAGCTTATTTCTGGTCTTGTTTTTGCTGTTAGTTGCTGGTTATTTAGTAATTGTTGGTGGGAGTTTTTTGCTACACCTTGATCATTTTACCCAGGCTTGACGATTTTGGCGTGGGACTGTTTGTTTTGGTCAGGTTAATTGGTGTTCTCAACCTCGTTACATCCATTTTACCCTTTTTGGGTTTTATCTTCTTGATTTAGGCCTCTGCTTGTTTGGTATTAACATACTCATGACCTTGCTTTCGATCTCTATCAAATATAATTGCATTATTTGTTTCTTGTATCCATCCATTACAACTTAACACATTTGATTTTTTTCATAGTAATGTAACTAATGGTAGTCTTACAAACTGATGCCACATAAGGTATCAGTAACATAATATGATTAAGGTGCTCTTGCACTTTTTTAAAAAAAAATTTCTTACTAAAGGGAATGTGATCGACAATGTGGATCACATAGATGAGAATAACTTTTAACTCATCCCTATGGTTGTATGCCTATTTAACCAAACTGCTTCTTCATTTACTGAATTTCTAATGTATTGTTGTATCGTGAAAGACATACATATATCACAGAAATTCAAACCGAGTCCATAATATATTCATTTTTCTCAAAATTTTCCAAGATATGTTTTTATTAATAAACATATTGATCAAATATGGTGTGTATCTACTAAATAAAACTCATAGTTGAACTATTATTCCTATTAACATATGCTTTTAGTAACTATAAAAACTACAATATTCCATTCTATAGATTGTGAACAGAAAATTAACTAGCAAATTTTGCATCACAAGGGATAACCTATTTCATTAAAATAACTTCACAATTAGTTAAAGAAATATATTTTGAATGTCACTGAACTAGTTATGTTAGCAGTGTCACTTTCCCATGTATCAGTAAGCAAAAGAAACACAAGTTTAGATGAAAGATTTAACACTAATAACAAATATATGCAACTTTGGCATATTTGAACAATAAATCTTGTTGGGAGATGGACAAAAAAGATTCAATCTTGAAAAAAAACAAGAACAATACAAGATTACTAGAACTGAAGACCATGTTCTCTGGCTGCATCAGCAAGCGCCTGAACACGTCCATGATAAGGATAACCACCTCTATCAAATGCCACAGCTGTGATCCCTTTCTCAATGCATGATTTTGCAATTGCTTCCCCTACTTTTTTAGCCACATCCTGACACCAAATAAAAACTCAATCATGTTAACTCTCATAGCTTTTATGATTCATGTTAAAAATGATATACTTACAATGGTGGGACCAGAGGTGTAATCAAACTCCTCAGAGAGTGGTTTCTGCATTGTTGAAGCTGATGCAAGAGTATGCATTTTGGTATCATCAATCACCTGAACATATAGATGTTTGTTGGATCGAAACACACATAATCTTGGTCTTTCTGGAGTCCCTTCCACCTACAAAAAAAAAAAGGCCTCGTAAAAATGGCAGCAATGGGAATTGGGAAATAACAGTTCCTCCATAAAATTACTTCATCCGGTTAAAACAATGGAATGTGTTAACAAATAATATGAAACAACTTGAGTTCTTACAGGTTTGGTTCGAACAATTATTAATTTCTTCTTCTTTGTTACGTGTTTTTATCATTAAGGCGTAAATTAGTGGAACTTAAAGAGTTAGGGTTTGACATTGGATGCCAAAACGAGCATCGTTTCTCACTTCACACAGATTCTATGAAATACACACAAAAATTGATGCCGATATTGGAGATTACAATAAATGATACAATTAGGAATAATTGGAACACGAATTTTCTGTTTGGTTTAAGATAAACTTATAGTAAGCGAAAAATTTAAGCTAACTAGTAACTACTATAATTTGAAGGGTAAAAATTGGGACAATAGTATAGAGCCAGAGGAATTAGGGCTAGAGAGTGGATAAAATTGACCTTCTTACGGAGACGAGCATGGCGAGCTTGTCTGTTATCTTGACGAGTTCTTGCCTTGGCTTCTACAACCAGGGAGGTTCTTCTCGGCTGAGACGATGATGATGATGATGATATCAATGGGGTTTGAACGAAGAGCTTATGTTGCTGATGAAGGTTGGAATAGGAGCAAGTGCTCTGTAGAAATGATAGCGAAATCGATGACATTGTTGCCTTCCTCCACAAACGCCTCTTCTTCTTCCTTCTTCTTTCTCTGTAACACCTGCTCAACAGACGAAGATAACGTTTTATTGAGCAGATAGACAAAGCACTCATCTTTTAGCAAAATGGTCCCTTGACTTTTCTCTTTTTTAAATAAAACCATAACATGACATATTCCTTTAAACTTCAAACCATAATATTTTATTGGGTAAATTACACCGATCGTCCCTCGTGTACTTGCTAGAAAGCGTGTTTAGTCCTTATTTTTAAAAATCAACTCGGATCGTCCCTTGTTTGTTTAACACTTGCATGCTTCGTCCCTGATATGCAGTTTTATTGCGAATTTAGTCCATGTCAAATCTAAAATGATCATAATGCCATTTTTTATTTAATTTCCAATTATTTTTGATTTTTTATTGATATTAATTATATATTAATATTTCGAAAAAAGGTATATCCCCTTATTTATTCTAAAACCTCACCTTCACAAAAAATCACAAACACCACCATTTTCTTTTCGGGCGGACATCGTCAGACCACCGACCACCACCATCGCCGGAAAACCGTCCGCCACTGTCATCGGAGCACCAATCACCACCATTAGTATTGTTTAAAGAACCATGACATCTCTCTCCTCCTTATTTTCCCATCAGATATCCCTTATTCTCCAGTCACAATCTTGTAATCTTCTCCACCACTCAACCATCCTCTTCATCGTGACCCACCTTCCGCCAAGCACAACTTTTATCTCATCGAAGACCTTCAACAACCAAGAGCATAAGTCAGGGTTTCGAATTGCCACCTAGGGTTTCGAGATCGAAGATCTCCTTCTTCACCTAGCGCCATCACCTGTACTGCATCTCTCCCCTCCTCTTTTTCCGATCGACGATCTCTCTCTTCACCTGTGTGTCTAGGGTTTCAGATTTATATACCGTGAAATGTGTGGTTTCAGATTGAGAACTTTGGGCATTTCATGACGGATTTCATTTTTGGGGTTTCAGATTGAACATCACTACTACTAATAATCTCTTCTTCTAGATTGCGTTGTAACCACGGTTAGAGTTTGACCGGTGGATTCAAGAGGTTGTTAGATAGTGGGAAGGAGGTTGTACATGGTGTGTGAGACCGGTTTGGAGTCGAGTAAAGAGGAGGAGAATAGGTGGTGAGACGATTTTGGAACCAAAATGAAGTGGTTGTGGAAAATACGTCAGTGATTCATCTGATGATTTTGATCGGAGATAAGGAGGTTTCTATTAAGAGGAAAGGACAGTGGGAAAGGGAAGAGGCAGGGTGGGTACATGATATACTTTTTTCTTTTTTTTTTTTAAATAAAAAATGATAAAGCATTAAAAGAAAATTAAAAAGGAATTTTTT